CTTTCTTCTAGTTAATCATCATTATATTTAAAATATCTGAACCATATTTTATACAAAGTCTATTAGTCCTACAATGTTACTTGTTCCGTGTAGAGATATGAAGTCTCACTATATATCATCAAATGTAGAATTCTTTATAATTTAAATTATATATTATTCTAATATTAAAAAAAACATCCTCAGTGTGTACAGTGTTGCCTGCCAGTATACAAACATATAAAAACTCCAACAAAATACATCAGTAGTTAGTAGCATAGTAGACAAATCATGAATTGAATAAGACTCATTCATACATTTTCATGAATCAAATGTTATCAAAGCACTACATTACACAATGGTTTAAACTTAACCTAATGTCAAGTTTGTTTTTCATTTCTTAACAAACGTCCACTATGTTGTTGGGTTGGGTTAGATGAAAATGGGTTTTGTGTAAGACAAAGGTTTTCAATAAAACAATATAAAAACTTTCAATAAAAATATTTATAGTATAAAGAAGATAGATTCATTGGTTTGTTCATTTGCATTGTACAGGCTAAGAAACATCTGAACTGATTTGAAAAATTGTTTTACAGTTGTGAAGTTTCTAGTAAGAAAGCCATAATGTCCCTGATCAACAAGGACCAGAGTACTATTCTAAGTGAAAACCCTACTCCAAAAAGAAATAATGAAAGATGTTATTAATTTATTTATTGAAAATACACTGATGACGACGTATGAAGACAAATAAATGGAAAAGAAGAGGAATATTAAATTACAAATTAATAAAAAAAAAAATGATTCCCGCGATCTTTTTTCTTATCCGTTAACGTTAACATTATGGCTTAATAATAATTAATCTAACTGAGATATAACAGATGTAAAAAGGGTAAACCTACAACGGACCAGCCTATATAACCAGCTCCAAAAAAAATCTGAATTTTAAAAATAATACATTAAAATGAAGAAATAGCGAGTTAGCTATTTAACATAATTAACAGTTTAATTGCTTATCATATTCTTCGTCTCATTAATCTACTTTAGAGCAATTAAATAAACGTCTGAACCCTGATACATTTCGAAATTCAAAATTTGCGCAATGTCATAATCCGAACTCGACCAATTAAGCCATTGGCAAGTGATGTAAACAAAGCACAATCATAGAGAATTACACGGTTGTGATTGGCTGTTGGGATTCTGACAGGTTTCATGCCGCCATATTGGCTTCCAATTATTGGGTCGTGCATTATCGGGCCGTACATTATTTGTACGGCCCGATAATGTACGGCCCAATAATGCACGACCCAATAATTCGTGTACATGCTTTTTATGGGACACGGATTATTGGCCTGTACCGATAATGTACGGCCCGATAATGTACAGCCCAATAATGCACGGCCCGATAATTCATGTACTAAAATCCTTTGTTTGTACACGGATTATTGGGCCGTGCATTATTGGGTCGTGCATTATCGTGGCTGTACATTATTGCCTCCCGGAAACAGTCTGAGGTAAAGTCGAACATTCTGAAAACCTATTAGAATTTAAGTAATTATTTGAATTAATTCTTTTAAATGTTAAGTTCTTAATATTAATATTTGTTGTACGAGCTGTTTTTCTGTATCAGATATAAATTTTATATACAAATAGATTAAAAAATGCTTTAATAAAAACATTGTCGTCTCTGCTTTTTATAAGATCCCGAGAATATTTATTTATAAATAGTAACTGTTACGACAGAAGAACCCCTTCGTAAGACTATTCACTCCACTGCCACCATCTGTATTTCATATAGCTATAAGAGCATGGCATTTTCCGTTTTTCTTTTTAATTCCTTTCCTTAACATAGTTTTTCAACTTAATGTATCGGGTAATGCTCTCTCCTATAGCCTTAGATCGCTTAATTTACGACCAAAGATCAGATTTGCTAAGCAAAAAGAACAGGCGCATAAATAAAACCACTGAATTTTTTAAATGTGTTTACTCTTCATTCTTCTATTAGATTATACCTCTACTTCTTTAGATGATTTTACTGAATTAGAAGAATATTCATATATTTATTTTCTAAGTAATGTGTAATAACTATAGGCTCCTTTAAGGATCTGAAAAACAAAATGGTAAAAACATTTACTTATTCCTTGGATAGTCTTACTTAAATGGCTGGATAGTTAGTATACCGTCAGAAAAGTCGAAAGTGTAAGATTTGTAAACGGCCCGGCTGTAAACGTATGGACTCGGCTCAGTTGACCTGCGAGGAGGATTACGTTCTTCCGTTGCCGCGGTCCCGCCGTCCACCATTCACTTTCGTATGGTCCCATCATAACGTTGCCGCTCTAGAAAAGGAAAGAAGCTAGTAAAATAACTGTGGCTACTTAAATTGCGGATTTAAACCATGCTAATTTTTTTTTAACTCCACATTCATAAATACATTTTACCGCATAATAGTTTAGAGACTGAATGAGACTGAGAGGGAATGTTAATTTAATTTAGTGCAAATATTTATGGTTCTCCTTTTGCGCTTGGGTCAGTGTCACAGTGGAGAACAATTGTGTACTTACCTTTACGATGACGTCCTTGCTGTGCCAGCAAAACAGAAAAAGTTGCATAATACCGAATATCAAATATTCAGCCATTAGCAGCTTCTGTGTTGTGTTCGTAGCAGTCTAATATGAAAGTAAAGTAACCTTAATAAGGCAAGAGATAATTATAACTATGAAGTAGATGTTCAGTTTTGAAATGTACATACAGTTAGTTGAAAAGCGCTAAAACACAGCACAGATGAGCACATTACTACGTAGAGGAACATGACGGGCGACAACAATGAGTTAAACAGCTTCGCATACCTGAAACAGATACTTCTTGATGATAATTACTGACTAAATTCTACCGAACGAACTACTAGATCCTTGTACTTTTTAATAAAGCTTTTAACTCATAGATGAAATCTTAGCTACATTATCATTAAAACTTACTTCATTAAAAGATCATGAATGCTGTGAAGTTCCTTAATAGTCGCTGCTACTTCTTGATTACTCACACCGAGACCGCTGGTCCCGAAAATCTGTCTACATCGTTCCCGAAGTAAATCAAGTTTCCCACCGAAATAAACCATGATAACCATCACACTGGTATCGTAAGCCGCCATAATACCACCCCCATAAGTACACATCAACGCGTGGTACAGAATAGTGAACCAGTAACCTGGCGAAGTAGATTTATCATATGGTACCCATGAGCTAAAGATGTGAGGAAAGGACTCAGTGCCGTTACGCAGAGCTTCACGGTATTTAGATGATGATAAATATTTCAATAAAGGTGTATTAGTCACAGTAATCACCGTCATGCAAACCAGGAGCCAATAGAAATAAACTACTTTACGACAATATTTAGTGTAATGAGCGATAATTCTTTTCTTAATCGGATCTCTGGTATTCCTCTCGTATTTATCAGCTTCGGAAATATAGTCGATGAGCTGCTTCCAATTGCTCTGCCAGAATACATAAGTGTTGGCTTTCACGACGCAAACGATACTCAACATTGATATCTTCAAATTAGTTAGAACCAGATCCAAGTTGGAACGGATCTCGAGGAGCTCCAAGTACTGTGTGAACACAAAGAAAGTGACAAAAAAATGCAAAAAAATATACAAGAATTTGCCTATTTTGTTATCAGGTAGTATTAAACCCATTTTTCTCAACATCCAATAATTCGGACCGAAAAGAGGTCTCTTAGGATCCTCCAAATTATCTAGTAACTTAGCTATCATTTTGTAAATATTTGATTTTATATAGAGAATGTTAAAGTGAGGGGGAAAGTATTTCGCAGGTTATTTATATAGCCTCGTTTGGTGAAATATTAAATGATAGTGACACGAAACTTTGTTGCATTTTTAATGAACTACTATGTTTTTCTTTAATTTTTAAATTTTCTGATATCTAGTTCAGATCGAAACACCATAGGGTTGTCTAGATATTTTGAATAGATTTTAATAAGTCGAACATTACTTTTATTGGGACTGTAATAATAACAAATGTAGGGAACTTAGTTTTAGACCAGGAGTAAAACGCAAACATATCTCTATAATAAATAAAAATTTGCAACAAGCATTGATTGAGAAGAGTAAGTACTGTTTGTTAGAGAGGATAAAGAGCTTCATGTAAAAATAAATCAAACAATTTATGTGACATCACTAAATGCGAAAGGCGTTTCTTTTTAAATGGTGTTGCATGATATTTGAAACCAATAATTTAGATGTGTCCAAACGGGCTACGGGCGGTGAAATATGGGCGTGGTGGTCGGGTGGAAGAGGTGTTCCGAAATAAAAAAGTAATAAAGTTGTCGATCACAGTATAGTCGAGGACAAATAATATGTAATTATGTTTTGGTTATAATAATATTCATATGGAACGTATAGAACTCATATTATTTTTGTATTTATAGAATTTTAAAGAGTTAAGTCATTGAATGTATTTTCGCTAAACTGCTAAACAAACACAGGAACAAGTCTCGCCAAAGATATAAAGAGAGAAAAACGTGGAAGCTGTTTAAAATTACGAGATTTGTAAAATTCCTTGCAGTACTTTACTTCGCATTTATTATTATTATACTTTCATTTATAGTAACGCTCACAACCAATTTATACGTGTAGACCTATTACGATTGGTAAGTACTACTTAAAATTCATTCTATTTTCCACTTGATATCTACCACGGTCGAGATAATTTTTGAAAAAAAAAATCAAACATTTACTTTCAGGTCAAACTACGTCCTCATTCGCAATGGCAAAACCACAGGATTCTATAGCTTCGCAAGGTTTCCTTCAAATTGGACAAATGTCAAAATACTTGAAAAAAAATAGTGTCATATTGGTATTTGATTTGCTATTTGTGTTATTTTTTTAATCTTAAATCTCAAAATGTGTGAAATTGAACGAAAAGTGATTTAACTGTATTAACGGAAAACAAACTTTAGTAATGGTGAGTTGTGTCGTTATCAGGTGTAGAAATTGTTCAGGGAAAATATCAAAAAATAAGGACGGAATTACATTTCACAGGTAAGGATATTGTACAATACCCTTTTTCATTAGGTTTTTACATAAAAATCCTAAGTAATACAACAAATTGGCCTATGGATAATGGATTATCCATTTTCAATGTTAAGTAGTTAGTGAAAATTCATTTTTTATAGGTTTCCGCGGGATAAGGTGAGAAAAAGAAAGTGGGAGATTGCTGTAAATCGGGAGGCAGGCTGGTCGTCGTCTACATCAAGTACAGTATGCTCTGAACATTTCATCACTAAGGATTTCTACTTGACAGAAAGTGGTTTACGGAAACTTTCGCAAGATGCTGTACCTTCTATTAATATATCAGTAAGATAAAAACTATTTAAAATGTACGCACCAGATTAATATCAGAATGTGTGGTTTATTGGGCCCTCAAAGGATTCCTCTGGGATGTTTCCCCTTTGGCAGATGACCTATTAATTGATCTACCCAAGGGGATTTTTAACCATAAAATTAATCGACCCAAAAGGAAAAAATCATTTGTGTCATCAATTGATGGCTCATTTGGCCCAATGGGAAACACCCTTCAATACTACCAAGGCAGAGGTGCACTTGCTTACTAGTTAATTATAATGTAACGTTTATATTTTTCTTTTACCTTGGTAGTTTAAATATTTCTATTTTAATTTTAGGCATGTCAAGACTATGAACCTACAATATGTAATTCTGAAACAGTGGTAATAAATTCTAACGATTCAGAGGAAGTTTTACAATTAAAATGTAAAGTCCGGAGACTAGAAGAACTTGCTGAATTTAGGAAAAGGAAGTTGAATCACATGGTGCGGGGGAAAAAGAGACTTAAGAAGAAATATGCACAAATGAAATATCTATTAAAACATCTAATAAGAAATGATCAGTACAAAGAACAACTGAGTGATTCACACACTTGAGTATATGGATTTTTTTTAAATTATTAATAAACCAATGCTGTAATGTATTAACAATCAAGAAGATCAGGGGTTGGAAATCTATGGTCCTCCACTATCACTCATCTAAACAAATGTTTTGAGACTAAGGGCCTCTCCCACCACTGGCCGATAGAGGCTCAAATAGCTTAAAAATGACATTACTGTCAGGTAAAGTGACAAAATCTGATGTTTCCATCATGTATTACACATTGGATTGTTATCTGACAAATTACAAGAATAAGGCAGAACTGAGTGTAAACCAATTAAAACAAATATTTCAGCCAACAACTGTTATATAGACTTTGGTTAAATCCCACCAGGGTGACCATCTAAGGCACTAGATATAAATGGATGCCATATGTCTGTGAATAATAGACTCATATTATATCCCAAAAGTACTTAGAAAGAGGCTGCCTTAGAAAAGTTGCTCGCATGAAGTGCTAAAACCAGTACTAATTCTGGCCAGTAATAAAAAAGGTTGCCAATCCCTAACTTCATAATAATTGACAGATATGGTTTACTTGTAAATATATTCGTATAAAAATTTACCCTGTTGCACTTTTAGAATGTTCTACAAGAAATTTTGCTTATAGATAATCAATGTTATCATCATAATGTATTAAGTCATACTTTTTAAATGGTATTTTTTTTATTTTTATTTATTAAACCTTTTGATGTTGTGAACTAAAAATAATGTGTGTCATATTTTATCAATAGTCAATTGTATTTGTAACAAAAATAAATTATTGTTAGAAATAAATGTTTTATTTGCAAAAACTAAAATATAAATTAAAAATAAAAAAAATTTTAAGTTTTTTTTTTCTTAAATTATTTTACTAATAATACGTATTTTCTGTTAATATTCAGAGAGTGGAATTTTACATCTTTTTATAATTCATCTTCATCATCATCACCAGCTCACTATACGTCCCCACCGAGGGGCTCGGAGCCTACCCTAATAAGGGGTGACTAAGCCATAGTCAACCACGCTGACCAAGTGCGGGTTGGTTGTCTTCACACATATCTTCGAATTTCTTCGCCGATATGTGTAGGTTGCATCACGATGTTTTCCTTCACCGTAAAAACGTCGGGTAAATTATGTACATATGAAAATTCGAAAAATCAAAAATCACATTGTACATGGCGGGATTCGAACCCAAGATCTGTAGATTACAAGTCAAGTGTTCAAACCACTGAGCCACCGACGCTCATTTATAATTCACACCAGATAAAACCGCGGGTCTGCGCCCAAAAAATGTTTAAATACCAAAGCCGATCAAGAGCTTTTTGAATTTATTTCTAATTTCATTAAATTAAAATGAAGAAGTTTAAGATAACCGTAATTGATTTCGGAGATATTCATTTCAATATGCCATAGATTGAACTGTTAAACTGCTGTTCTTCAACCTACACAAAACATTAAGTTTTTTCCCTTATTCAAATGTAGATTGTATTACAAGCAATTAAAACGAAGGATAACTCTGAAAATGATTAAAAGTATTCTGGAATGTTTGTTAGTAGTCTCTGCTTACCTCTCGTGATTATGGGCGTGAGTGGTAAGATTAAGAATGCCCGAGAGAATGAAAGGTAACATGATAACAATGTGAAAGGCGATAGAGATTTATTTAAGAGTAACTAGAAACAAATACATCAAGTAATTGTATCTAGTCTTACTTTCTCATACTCGTATTATGTTTGTGAAAGTTGACATATAATGTTGCTTGTTGAAAAGATATCTGATGCTGTATGAATTGTCATTATAGCTAAAACAAACATGTTTACCTTTGCTTTGAATAGAATTTAATTTAAATCTAATTTGTTTTTATGCCGAGAAACAAAAAAAAACATCGGTCTGTCATATTTCCAAACCATATTCCTATTGGAAAGAAACTTTCGTGATAAATTCAAGTAACGGCATTTACTGCGACTGCTTGCCTGGGTGCTTACTGATAGCTTATCTCTTTTAAAAACACCAGCTGTGCCACAGCCAATAACTTTCGATATAACCTGCGTCCATTGATTTGAAGCCTGCGCTTGCGCATTAGTGGGGGCAACTCCCACTAGCTCGTCTCAGTACCTTCACCGCCGTCGCAGCAGATGCACGTGTCAACGTCGTTCCAATTTCAAACACGATCGAAAACTATTACGTTACCTCTCGCATTTAATTAATCTAATTCTTAATTACAAGTATATGTGCACTTTTTAAAGCGATGTGTAAAAGTGAACGTGTGTATTCGTTGTTTGTGTGCGTTCCGATGTGTGTCATTGAATGAATCGCGCTAACGAGTTGCAATACAGCGAAAATGTGACTGTTTGTTATTGCAAGTGTGTACCATCGATCGTTTGATCGAAAAATGGCCATTAATGACATTCCGTAATGTACTGATGTTCAATAAGATGCGCGAGTTCTTAAGGATCACTTTGGTGTGTGTTTGTGCTGTTCTATTGGTGGGCGATGGCTGGTGTGCGGAGGACGTTGTCTCCTCGGAAGTGACGGTGGAGTCGGAACCGATTAGCACGAGGTCTGATGATGCTGACCAACGAAGGGATAGACAGAGCACTCTTCTACCAGGTAAGGTGAACCACACATTTGTTTATGATAACTGGTAAGGACTTGAATCTAGGTGCATACTGCGAGTGATACCTACTGTAATTGGTTTTAAATAGCAGCTGAATTAGCTACTGATACCTTATCCTACTCCAGTAGGGTCGGCACACCGGGTTTTCGTCCTCCCAATAACTGTCATCCGTCATCTTAGTCAACACTCCCTTCTTGATCCTTATTCACGCAATTAATCCATATCTTTCTATGTCTAAATTATGTCGAAATGGTCTGCTTAAATTTCTATGTATTAAACATCAACGAACAGTGAAAATCAAGCTTAAAAAGATTAAAATCGCATAATTAAAAATTAAATTCCTTCGATAATGTTCGAGGTAAGTATGTATATTATGATTATAAGGATAAAAATAAATGACATGAATATTAATATAACTAGTACAGAAGCCACCTGTAAATAACATCTGAACATTAGCCGGATATCTAAACGTAATCGGAAAAGAAAATCGTAATACAATATGTAATCCGGTGTTTATGTGGAAGCATTTATTATACGAATCTATTATGTAGTCGGAGAACATTTAATCGTGTTTTATAAATAAAAAAAAAACAAACAAATGGCAAACATTTATGCATCAAGATGCCATTTTTTAAAAGAAATGTTAAATGCGGTCCTAGATGTGCCATCGAATATTTTCGACTGCGATTACGTTATTTCTATTGTGCACCTTCTTCATAATTTTTTTGGAGTATTTTTATGATTATCGATATGTCCAGAATATGTCATGTGCCATTCATGGCACGCGTGACAGTGGTTTGCCACCCCTGTATGTGCTTAGAATTGACTGATTGTTTGATATTGGTTTAAATTAACTTTTTCATAAGAAATAAAAGTCTAATAGGTGAGAAGACTGGGTTCTCTTTAGTTATTTTGATTACTTGTTATTTCAATATATTTTTATCTTTAATAAAATAGCTAATATTAAAATTGAGTACAGAATATCCTATTTAAATTCTTACGTTAACATTTAAATTGTATCAGTTCTTGGACAAACATCGACATTATGCGCCCACGTAGATGATTTTATTACATTACCTAATATGGTTAAATATTTAATCATGTCATAGTTAGGAAATACGAATTCATAATACTGACTTAAAAATGTAATACCATGTCATCCTAAAAACATTTTTAATCTAAGGTATTAAAATAGACAGATTTGTCAATAGATGATTACATTTTTTAATCCTTGGTTATTCAAAAAGGTAAAACATACCAGTATTTTTCCAAGTATTGCGTTAAATTCAAACAAGACTAGATAATTAGTTATTCAAAGAGATACTGGTATAGATGTTGTAAATAGGACCTACATTCTAGTTTAGATTGCGTATGCGTAACCGATCCGATGCAGAACAAACGTTACAATATAAAAACCCTTGAAATGTTAAATTACGCAAATATATACAATACTTTTACGGTACAAGAATTGAGGCTGTGTGGTGAATTTTCAAACGATTATTGCTTAAATAAGTAAAAACTAATACACAGTGCATACAATGTTCTATTAAATTATACAAAATTATACGTCTTAAGTCATGGGAAATCTTCGTTGTTCATAAACAATTTTACAGTCTACCTTAACAAAATCCTCTCCAATGTAATCATAGGCCTTGCTAGGTCTAGGGCGGAGCTACTTATGTTATGGTCTTATTTATATCTGTTTAATATATTTCGATTCATTAGGCAGTTGCCTTCCCTTAGCCCTCCCTTTTTTTGCGACGCCTCTCTTGGCCCTCCCTTGGCTCATGAATGTAACAAAACTAAATGACTTCTTTGATGGAATTTAGATTTTTTAACTATGATTCCTTTAACTTTTTAATTATAATTAAGTTATTTCCATTTAAATTTATTTCAGTGTTAGTCTTTCGTTTATCTTTCATAGACTGTACTAGTCCAATAATACAACGTTCATCAAATCACAATACAGCATAACAGTAACATTTAGCATGACATAACCGGGTGTATATTAATATGATTCGTTTGTTGTGAAAACGGTTAGCCGAGCTTCGGTTGCCGTTGGTGTTGCGCAAAGCGGCGTGCGAAAACATTTGCATTACAAAGAACTGAGCGCACGCACTGCGTGCCGGCACAATGCGACGCTTCTACACATCTAATGGGCAATTCACAATGCAAACGGGGTCACTGCACCTCTTTGTTTAGTTTCACCTACACTTTAAATGCCGCACTCAGAGAAGTATAGATTAAAATCAATCATACAGTAAAGTGAGGGACCCCCCCATTAGCGCACAAATAACGCTTCTGATTAAAGTTATTTAAAACGTGATTTTAGAACCAGTCTTTCTATTACCTTCTTGATAAAGGTGTTTTTTTGATGTTAGAGTAAAAAATTAACCTTATCATCTATGAAATAAATATAAGTCCTCGTTACATTTTTAGTCTCTAAATTATGAAAAGTGTGAATGAAAATTTGTTTATTAGTATAAGGACTATTAACCTAATATTTAGAGATAATAAAATACATAGAGTGGTACACCAGTAGAGGTAAATTACGAAGAGATGGAGGGATTGCGTGAAAGATGACATGAGTGACAAGAGAATAAAAACCGACGACTTTATGTAAGTAGGATAAGGACAGGAAGATGATAGATAATGAATATATGCACTAAATAAATAAATCATAAAGAATTAATTTAATATCTGTCTATTAAATACAAAAATTGTAGAGGAAAATGTTAATTGTTACGCTATTATTAGTCAATTAATAAGACACATCAGGTGTCGTATGGTGTGGAGTTAAGTACAGGCTTATTAGTAGAGAATTTATAATCTGTACTCTATTGTTTTATACTTTAAATGCCCTCACGTTCCCTCCTTCATTCTTACTGCAAGGTTTTTGGTATCTAATGTAGAATCTAAAATGCTTTTGGGCAATTCCAATCAATCAATCTGTTCACGGTCATCATGGTAAGTGGAGATGATCAAATCGACTTACTAAGGCAATTAATCAGGTATTGTTGCTGTTGTCAAGATACCTTCACACGTCCGAATATTTCGATTAGTTCGAGTCCCGTGTGAGAGTTGCATCAGACACCGACAATGGGTTTTCTCGGCCTTGGATATGGATATCTTGCGGTTACACAATTCGTTCGCTTGTCTTTATTGTTTCATGTGTTTTGCGAGTGTCGTTTTAATTTGGTTTGGTCGATAACGCAACTGTGTTGCTGAATGTTATAAGTAGATAGTTATTAAAAATGTAAGTAGATATTTATTTTAAACTTTCATGTGTATCGCCAGGAGGCCGTTTTGAGCTCCTTTCGATACGGTTGAAAGCTATATAGTCACTGGCTGACGCAGAAATATGTAGATCTCGTGCAATTAACCTATGTTACGTAAGACGATGGTCACGTAAAGGCCCGACGATTAGTATCGAACTGGCTATCATTGCCAGTGTTAAAGGAGATCTACCAGCAGAGTATTGAAATAATTAATACGAAAACGAATAAATACAAAAGCATATTACATGAAGTACTTTATTTGCAATAAACGCACCGATAGAGGCGCTGTATATTAGTGAGAATATTTTACGGCCACCTTTTAACAACGTAATTTATTCTCGGAATGAAGTGACACATTGTTAAATTACATATTGTGCCGTTGATTTATGTCATGGCACTTCAAATACTATAAATCGTATAGAACCTTCGAACGTGGAATATGAACTATTTCTATATGATTTACTTGTCACGTGAAGTTTCCCTATATTTTATTGAAGCGAAAAATCGTTCTTATAACTTTGTATTATTCTTACGATTTAAAGAGTCTGTTACACTATGACGGCCTTAATAAATTCAAAGTATGGTTTACGGACTCATCACAAGCATTTATCTATCTACTGTAATCTTCTTAATTTCCCTGCCCTTTTAAAGGCTGCTGCCCGTAGAGTCCGTTAGCAGTTGCGTTACCTACGTTTACTCAACAGAGAAGACGCACAGAAAGTGTCTCACTAGATGTAGGGTCAGCACAAGTTTTCGTCTAAATATAAATCCATTGTAGATTAATTCGGCGTTTTAATTTTTATGGCCATGTTTTTAATTATATTTCCCACAAGATTCTAATAAAAGGAAGATTCTTTTATTCTATTGGAATAGATATGTGTTTACAGTCTCGCCACGTGCGATGAAATGACGTTAAGTAAGATGTTTCGACTATCCAGGAGTTAAAATGTAAACACAGTTTTTATTCATTCCTTCGAGACATAACATTGAGTAACCTTTTACTACAGACGTGTAAATATTTATTTTATTACTTGATGTCGATACTTTCTCTCTACATGGATAATAAATTCATACAATTAGTTATGCAAATGAAGATTTTACAATTGTGTATAGCATTACAACTATGTAAAATTTCGACAAAATAATTAAACATACAAAAATTTTTGCACTTAAAGTAAAAAGAAGTTTTAAACAATTAATATAATTGTTTCTAGCGATATTAATTTTACACTCGGAACTAGTGGTTACGCCAGGAATGCGCGCGAAATATCCATCCTTCTAAAGACATTGACAGCTGTCAGTTTGAGATGTGACGTTTATGCGAATAATCTAGTGTTGCGCCAATTCTACAGAAGATAGGAAGTTTTTTTAATGTTTGTTAAGCTAGCGCTTGACCATGATCCCACCTGAACAAAGTAATGACGCAGTCGGAAAATGGTACGCGCTAGCTTACAAATTCAACTGTGGTAGAGCCTACTTTAACATTGCAGGAATGGGCCGGCTTGCTCGATGCACGTCACCACCGTCATTGGCGTCAACTCCAATGACAGGCGTGAAGTGGGAGCAATACCGCGTTTCGTCTAATGAGTGCATACCGAAAGCCTCATTTTAGTCCTTTTTCTACCTACGCTTCTCTTATACGGAAAGGATGGGAAGATAAAGTGGATTTGACTTTAGAGCAGAAATGTAGCAAACAAATCTTTAAGTGCGTCTCC